AACAGAAGTATTGAGAATTTGAAATGTGGAATTAACTGTGTAATCTTTTGAAAGGAACAGGAGCTGGTCTTTGTGTTTGCAGGAGGGAACTGTAAGAGGCTGCATGTGGGTACTTTTCTATACAACAAACGTATTAGTAGGAATTGAATAATGAGTAACCTGATCAGATTTATAGCCAAGCTTGCCTGTCATACTGTGATAATTACCAGCTACCTTGGGCCTTAATACCAAGTGGATGCTTCCCCACCTTCCAAGCCATTTGATTTTTTAGAAGTGAGTTCTTTATGGAAAAGAAGCAGTGCTTAGGGGAGGTACTGGTCTTGGCTCAATACAGTGATCGGAAACACTTCCCGATGCAGGCACTGCCATATTCCACAAGCTGTTTTTTTGAAGAGCAACTTAAATGGTAACAGCTTTGGCCTAAGAGCGGTTTGTCATGGTCATGGAAGTTACTGGCAACATCAATGGTTGTGGGCTCCCCTTGGAGGCAATTATAGCCATGTTCAAAAGTACAAAACAAAATGGTGATAAGGAGATGTAAGAAGAGCAAGAGTAAGTAATTGCTTAAAATCCTTTCTTGTTGCATGAAAATTTTATGTGTTTATCGGGAGGACAAAAACATGGAGTCATTCCAGTCTGAAAGTTGGTCACTAGATATGGAATGCCATCTCCAGATGGATGGACTACCAGTTCTTCTTTCTTCCTAGCTAAGAAGCTGATTCAGAGAAGTGTTTTTGATTAGTCTTTAATGGTTTGTTATATGCATACATTTTTTTTCTTTCACTCAGGAGGAGGGAGAGTTGGACTGGATGATCTCTAGGTCTCTTCTGAACTCAGCTATTCTGTGAATATCTGAAGGATAAAGTCTTTGTTCTGTATTACATTAGTCAAAGAGCGGTTGCTTTGTGTTGGGTTTTGAGTGTTTTGTACTTTGCCACGCACAGCTCTAGGCTGTGTCCATCGATCCAGTAACTGGTAAGTCTGTTGTAGTTGTGTTGAGAAATTTGTTGTGGATTAAGGAGCTTCAGCTCAGATGTTTTGCCAGGTAAATGCAGAGTTCCATCCATGGCAGAAGTATCATTAGAAACCCTGGCAGAGGTTGACAAGATGTAACTTTCAAGTGGTTTGTGATACAAAGGAGTTCTGTTTGCCCTTGCAAGCAAACCATGTTAGAATGTTTGCATGGTAGTTACTGTGCACTTGTCTGGTTTCTGAGATTGTGCCTTTGACATGCAACTTTGACTGCAATAACAGTCCCAACAAGGCAGCAGAGGGCAGACTCCTGGTGCTGTGTTCCCAGGCACAGGACCAAGGTCTGAGTTACAGTTGTGTGCAGTTGGGATGACTAGTCCAGAACTCACCTGGTGGTGGAGAGAAAATGCAACTTTATCTCCTGCAGGAGGAGGGTGGGGATGGAAGCGGAGGCTGTCGGTTCTGGGACGTAATGGTACAGAAAGGAAGCAGACGTTTCCTTCCCTTTTCTTTTCCTACATTGTAACCAAGGTCTTCAAGGCAGAATGAGGTACAAGTAGAAGAAGAGTAGAATTTTTGGTTTTTTTGAGTGTATCAGTAGTTATATAATGTATACATGTATATATATGTTGGTTTTGTAAGGTCATGCAAGTATTCCTGTTCTAAGGACTTGTTCATTATCTGGACTTTTGCATTACCTGAGGTAGTGTCTACCTCTCTTCCCATGCCTTTAGACCATAGACTGCTGAGTGTGTATAGGTGGCTAAGCCCTGTGACCTTCACTTGGGCTTAGGGGCTCACAACCAGCCATGAACACTTTAAGAGCAACTGGAAAGTGAGGCAGTTTCCTGTGGTGACACTGGGCAATTTAAAATCTTTTTTTTTTTTTTCTTTTTTTCCTAGTTGTTTTGGCTTTACTCTCCTGGATAATGTTTTTATCAAACAAAGCTTGTATCACCCAAGCAGTTTGCATGCTAGAGGGAACTGGATTGTGAAATCTGAATTACATTGCTCTTGCCAGCACCCCTTGACTTCTCAAGATTTTCTGTTGCTTTGATGAAGGGAACAATGCTCAGACATCTTAAAAAGAAGGTTAAATGTAATATTGAGGTGCACTGATTCTATTGTTCATGAGTAGGTTTTGCTATTCCTTGAAATGGCAGTACGACTAGCTGAAGATTCACAGGGCTTTTCCCTTGTTTGATTGATTTTTAAGGCCAAAAAAGACAGTGAGAACAAACCAAATGAGATTGCAAGAACATCTGCATTGTTCTCCTGTGTATGGGAGGTCATGGACTTTGTCCTGGCTATCCAAGACACATGTTGTGGTCTGCTATCAGTCACTATAGAGCCTTCAGTGATAAGGATGAGACGTTTGGTGGCATTGCATGTGACATTTCAGCAACAGTCACCAAGGGATGACATCTAAATACAGAATGAAAACAGAAGGTAAAGCTTTTAGTGACATCCAAAGCAGCAGTAAAAGACTCCACTTCCAACAGCTGTTGGATAACTCCCAGCACAGAGACAAGAGGAGCTTGAGATCTGTGGGAAAAGGGCAAGAGAGTAAAACAGGCTAAAAACTGTGAAACTTTGCTTCTATCTCTTGTAGTTTTTCTGATACCTGTGGATCTTCAGGGTGTGATTGCTGCTGTTGGGAGCATATTGGTCAGTGCCATTCAATTTTAGGTGCTATTTACCAGGCTGTTTTTACAAGGGATGTACAGGGAAGCAAGGGCAAGCCACAGCAAAGTTCAGCTACACTTGCTGGCTTTGTGAATGATATATTTAAGCTTAGCCACCAAAAATAATAGTTTTGCCATGCCTCTGTGTAAACCTCCAAGAGACTGAAGAAATGATTCTGAACTACAATGCATTCTCCCTAAGGGACTTCTTGCAGTACTGAGTCCAATTATTTTTTAAATGTGGGGTTTAGCCCTCCAGGGAAGCCGTAAATGTGTCCATAACTGAGCTGTAGTGGGTTAAATATTCCCGATTGTCCTATTACAGGAATTCAGCAAAGAAAATAGGAGACAGTTCTCCCTAATAAAAGTACTAGCAGCTATTTTCTAGCAATGTAAGGGATACTGCTTCATTTACTCTTGAATATCTAAATAGCGTTTGGCCACATCTAAGTTTATTTAAATTTAATGTCTCAGTGGTTGAAACTGACCACTTCTGTTTTTTGAATCACCTCTGGTGTGGACTTTTTAAGTGTCTCTTGATGATTACTTATAGAATAATGGAATGGTTTGGATTGGAAGGGATCTTGAAGATCGTCTAGTTCCAACCCCCCTACCATAGGCAGGGACACCTTCAACTAGATCAGGTTACAAAACCCCATCCAACCTTTCCTTGAACACTTTAGGGATGGAGCATCCACAACTTCCTTAGGCAACCTGTTCCAGTGCCTCTCCACCCTTATAGTAAATAATCTCTTCCTGACATCTAATCTAAATCTCTCCTCTTTGAGTTTAAAACTGTTCTTCCTCGTCCTGTGACTGTCCATGTGAGAAGTTGCTCTTCCTCTTATTTATGTGTACCCTTTAGGTACTAGAAGGCTGGTGTTGACCAGCCTTCCCTTCTCAAAGCTTAGCAACCTCAGCTTTCTCAACCTGTCCTCAGAGGAAAGGTTCTTGAGCTCTCTGATCATCTTCATGGCCCTCCTTTCCACTGGCTCCAACAAGTCGACTTCCCTTCTGTGCTGGGGGCACCAGAGCTGGATGCAGAGCTCCCGATGGGGTCTTAGCAGAGCAGAGGGGCAGAATCACCTCCCTCAACTTGCTGGCCATGCTGCTTTGGATGCAGCCCAGGACATACTTGGCTTTCCTGGCTATGAACGCACATTGCCAGTTTGTGTCCAGCCTCTCATCCACCAGCACCCCTAAGTCCTTCTCTCCAGGACTGCTCTTGATCTGCTCATCCCCCAGCTTGTGTTGATACCAGGTGTTGCCCTGACCCAGGTGCAGCACCTTGCACTTGACCTTGTTAAACCTCATGACATTCCCATGGGCCCAGTCCTCAAGCTTCTCCAGGTCCCTCTGAATGGCATCCCACCTTTCAGGAGGTCTCTTGCCCTGTTTTGTGCTGGAACAGCATTCTCCTTTCTTCCTTTTGCTGCTTACGGATCTGCAGGAGCAATCTCTTGCCTTTCCCATCCCTTGCAGGTTTCCCTTATGAACTGTGCCCTTTGTAACTCCCTCCCTGCCATCCTCCTCTGTTTCTCCCAGGCAGCCTGTCCCTGCTTACACTTTCTGCAATGGCTTTCCAAGGTTTGAGGTCACTCCAGAGTTACCCATTCAGCCAAACTTGCCTCCTGCGTTACCTCCCTGTTTCCTCACACTCTTAGAGAGGTTGCCTTTCAAGTTCAGCCCTTTCTCCTGAGTCTCTTGCCATTTAAGGTAATTTAGCTTTTACAGGCTACCACTTACCAATTTCCTGAACAAGCCAAGACTGCTGCTCTGAAATGCAGGATCTTTATTGCGCTTTTTGCCTTCATTGCTTTCCTGAGTATTTTAAAGTCTTACTACACCTCACAGTCACTCAATCTAAGGCTATCATCAGCCTTATGTCCTTAGCCATTCCTTCCTTAATTGATACAAGATTGAGCAGTGTGCCTTTGCTAGTTAAAGGAGTACCTGCAATAAAAAAAGTCTTTGATGCTCTCCAGCTTGCCTGTGCTCTGTTGTTCTGATCTTCCAGCAGATGCCTCAAAGTTTCTGCATGAAGACATCTAATACTGAAGCTTCTTTCAATTGTTTAAAGACTTTGTCAGCTTTTTCTTCTTGACTGGGCACTCTGTAGCACGTGCACACACACATATGCAAACCCTTGCAAACCTCCAGCCTTGGCTTCCTGGGTCAGTGATATGTTGGGCTGTTGAAACAGTGGGAAAACAGTGTGCAATATTTTAAGAAAGTACTAGACACTAAGTAAACTGGTGAGAAAATATGTTTGCACAGAAGAGGAATATTACCTTTTGTTCCCTGCATGACTTGGGATGAGTAATTTCCCCTCTTTTCCTCCAGGTCTCAATCTGTGAAGTCTCTGTGGTAGTAGACCGACTATAATGAAGATAGGTGATGTGTAAGCACTGCTACCTTCCAGAGATTGCAGGCATCATTGCATTAATATTCCTAAATGTAGTTTGCATCCTCTCTTCATGGAAGCTGAGATTTGGTGATATAGAGAACATTCAAGATGACTGCCCAGTGAAAAAGTAGGATGGGAATGTCCCCATGCACAAAGGCGAGGTTTGCAAGGAAGCATGGTTGCTAAAAACAATGTGTATGTCTGTACAGCATTCTCTCATTACCAGGAACAAAATGATTTTGGGCATGTGGAAAAGATCATACTCTAATTTGCTGTGTGGAAGGATTTTGAATTTCTGTGAACTACATGAGTAAGCTGTCTAGTACTGCAGAGTAGGATTAAGGCAAAAGGTGAGTGCATGGTAGAAATAAATATTTAAATGACCTGTTCAAATTACTCATACATGTGGAAAGACAAAACATTTGTATTTTTCAGTCAAGAGGAATCTTTACATACTCCTGAACAGCTGACATTTCCTTCATTCAGCGTCAACCAAGTTAGGTCAAGCCTTGTTTCCTTTTTGTATTATGCTGTGGGGCTTCCTTGTTTGGGTTACGAAACATGGAGATTCTCAGTGCTATGTGCACTTTTCTCTATACCTTCCACATAGAAATACCTATTTTTAGGCTCAAGTGTGTGCACGAAGACCTTAATTAAGAAAATATGTTTTTCTGAACTACCCTGCTTGTAATGTCCAGGTGTTTCTAACTCTGGTGTTTCCCCAAGCCCACTTTCTTCTCAGTGTCTTGCATTACCAGTAGCTACCTGCTGACAAGTTTTTCATCTTAGTTTTCTACTGTAATAATTGCACTGCCTCTCTTGGCTTAAGTAGTTTTAAGTAGTAGTTTAAGCCAATATGTGTATACTGGCAGTGCTGGTCAAGTTTATCTTCTGCAACTTCAGGTTGCTAGTGTCTGTACATCAGAAAATAAAGTACGAGTGGTTCAATTAATCTTAATACCATTTTGAGCCTGCTGCTCTAATCAGTTGATCATGTTTACACATGTACTTATTCTGACATAAAACCCTACAAAAATAAAAGGGACTTCAATGGACAAAGAGAGGGTTTGCCAAATCCATCCCTTGCTAATATCAGCAGCTATGCCTTGTTTTAAACAAGACTGGATTTACTTTGATTTCTGCATTAGTGCAGATTACACTGAGCAGAACATTTAATGTATCTCATTGATTTTGCCTGTAATACTGTTGATACACAAGTCACTGCTCTAATCATTTGTTTTACCATTAGAATTCTGTATGCAGATCTAGTCCCTGAGGATATCAGTGTGTAACCAGATACTGCATGATCTAATCAGGTTCTGCAAGAAATATGTTATCACTTCAACACTTAGCAGCAGAAAGCTTCATCAAAATGGAAAATTTATCTAATATTTAAAGGAAAATGCAGTTCAAAGAGACAACCACGAAAAGCAGAGGTATACAAAATTTAAAGACATTTCTCAGATTAAACAAAGCCAAATCCAAGCCAGAGTCTAAGGTGATTTGTTGTGACTCCAATTACTGCTAAAGGAGAAAATGTTATAGCTGTTGCCTCCGTTTATAGGGTTTATTCCAGTTCAGGTGAAATAGCATCACTCTCAGAAATGACTGACTGGCAGGATTTCATTAATGTGATACTTATTTGCTACAGCATGCATGCTTTGGAAAGTAATTTTGAAAAGCACCTACCAAAGCATCGGTGACAGGCAAGACTAGTGCTCTGAACTCATTTTGATGTAGGATTTGGATGTCTGAGGGCCTAGTGCTGCAGTCCATTTCAAGTCCTGCTGACCTTGAAGGAGGTTTGCAAGCAGTGTGTCTGAGGCAGAGGAGCAGATCTGCTTGCTGCCATGAATCTGACCAGAAGCGTCTTCTTTGGCTGGAATAGTGAGAGTGTGGCTGTGCCAGCAGATGGACAGTGTTTTTGTGGAAACTGCCAGGTCTTACCACCAGGTATTCAGCAGGCTGGGGGTAGACAAAGGTGATAAACATCTCCTCTGGTCAGCTTATCTCTCCATAAAGCAAGATGAAGCCCCTTGCAGGGGAATGATCATGCAGATCATTCACAGATGTCCTTAGATTTATCACCTGCTTTCATGTGGATGTCTAAATGCTGAGCAAAATTAACTACTGCCTTTTTTTTTTTTTGATTGGTTGGTTGGGTTGTGTTTTTTTTTGTTTGTTTGTTTGGTTGGTTGGTTGGTTGTTTTTGTTTTGTTTTGGGAGGTTTTGTTTGTTTTTGGGGCTTCTGGGTTTTTGTTGGTTTAGTTGGGTTTTTTTGGTTGGTTTGGGTTTTGGTGTGGTTTTTTTTTTTTAAATGGACATACCTTAAGGCAGAGAATTTTGCATAGCAAAGTGCCATACATATTTGTATTCAACTATATTGTAGAAAATAATAACTCCTGTACATAGACGTGTTAAGAAGTATACCCCATTCTTGTCAAGAGCATGCAGTGGAGTTTCTGAATTTTATCAGTGGAATGCAGTGCTGTCCTTGTTTCTATCTATTGTACTTATTTAGCAAAGTAAAGGAAAGCATTTTAGAGGTAAATTTAAGAAGGAAAACAGGATTCAGTAACCTTGTGGATGAGCAGACGAGACTTGAAATAAAGGTCAGAAAGATTACGTGTCCTTGGCATTTTTTCAACTCCTATTTTAGCTGGCTATAAAGGTGTGTGTGGAATAATATTGGTTTGTTTTGTTTCCTTTGATTCTGCAAATTAGACAGTGCATGATTCAGTGTGCAGGGCCAGACTCTCCCTGTTGGCTCGAGGGATTTATTATATGACTGTCTTTGCTACCAGAACTGCTTCAATGTTGAGAACCTACTGGCTTCATTGAGCTTAAAGGCATAAGTAAGAGCTGGAGGAGAGTGACCAAGCATCAGACAAGCAGTGAAACAGGCATTACCTTCCTTTCAAGTTCCTGCAAAGTGCTGGTGGGGAAATGCTGCCAGACAAATGTACTGTTATTGAGGGAAAGGGCAGGAGAGGTGGTTGATGAGTGTGGTAGAAGTCAGAAAATTATGTTTATTAAGGAAAAAATCACTAATTACTTTTAATCTACAAATACAATGCTGATACTTTTCCTCTGTTATGTTTTTAGGGTCTCATGACTCTTTTAGCTTCTACATCGATGAAGCCTCTCCAGTTGGGCCTGAACAGCCGGAAACAGTCCAGAATTTTGTGTCAGTTTTTGGGACTGTGGCTAAGAAGCTGATGAGGAAGTGGTTGGCTACACAGACCATGAACTTCACCAGCCAGCTGGGGGCAGGTATACGGTATTTTGATCTTAGAATTTCCACCAAGCCCAGAGACCCAGACAATGAGCTCTACTTCGCTCATGGTTTATTCAGTGCCAAAGTCAAGGAGGGTCTGGAGGAGATCAATGCATTTCTCACTGAGCACCCAAAAGAAGTGGTCTTCTTGGACTTCAATCACTTCTATGGGATGCAGAAGTACCATCATGAAAAGCTTGTCCAGATGCTCAAAGATACGTACGGAAACAAAATGTGTCCTGCTATATTTGCCCATGAAGTCACCCTCCAGTACCTGTGGGAGAAGGAACACCAAGTGCTGGTGTTCTACCACAGTCCAGTGGCTGTCGAGGTAGCATTTCTTTGGCCAGGCCAGATGATGCCAGCTCCTTGGGCAAACACAACGGATCCAGAAAAACTGATTCAGTTCCTCCAGGCATCAATCACTGAAAGAAGAAAGAAGGGCTCCTTTTTTATATCTCAAGTAGTGCTGACACCAAAGGCTAGTACAGTGGTGAAAGGGGTTGCTAGTGGTCTCAGAGAAACAATCACAGAAAGGTAAGTTTATGGCTGGTAAGGTGTGCTGACTGTGCCAAGTGTGTGTGTTGGTAGTGCTGTTTTTCTAATTCCTTTTAAAGAAACCCCAGCAGAGGCATTTCTCCCATGCTACTATGGGCTAATCAGAACTTGGGCACAATTGTAAAATCTTAAAGAGAAACACATTCAAGGACAAGCTTTTATGTCCTGAAAGAAAATCTGCCGCTTAAAGCCTAGTGAGATATTATGGGATTGGCTTAATTTTTACTTTCTTTTTTTTTTTTTTGTGAACACAGGTTTTGCTAATTTGTTCTGTTTTTCAAATTTGATTTCTCACCATGACTATCTTTCCTGGGATTTCCCTACTGAATGTGGACAAATCTATCTACATGATCTAGATAATTTGAGGTTTTATTTATGCATCAGTTATTGGATAAATAATTTGTTCATCCTGGCTCATCGGCAAAGCCTGATGCTGCAGACTTAGCATCCTTAACTACATTTACACACCTTAAAGCTGCGTAGTTTCTCTGTCTCCATACAATCACACATTATATCGAAGCTAGCAGGACAACATTAGAGTGAATTCAACTCCTAACAGTCTCTCACTTATCATACAGGAAAGAGACTGCAGACCATTGTATAGGTTCTGTACATGGAATACTTTTTTGAAAGGCTATTAGTTGTTAAATTACAAAAAAAGCTGCCTGTGAAAGACCTGCATTATTTATACCTTTCTAACTTTATTAAATCATGGCCAATTTTCAGCTTAAAGGCATATATGTGCACTATGTTCTTGACAACTTGGTAGGAAACCTGGAATTTAATGCCAACACGCGAAAGCTGTTGTTTTTGGGTTTTTTTCTCCTTAAAAATAAAGAGCTGCAGAGTGTAAAAAAAAATTTACAGTGGAGGTCACTGGCCTGTTACTATTCTGCTCTCTGCACGAATGTGCTTGTACCAGGAAGGTCTGTTGCAAATACTATCCCATTCTATGAGATGAATGATGCAGCGCTTGCAAAGAAAACATGCCTTATCTTTGAGAAATGTTGAGCCATTTTTATGGCAGCTTTCCAAGCAACTGTTAACTTAAAAAATTAGGCGAAAATTTTACGTGAAATGGTAAAACATTGACAAAGAAGGTTTTATGAGCAGTGGAATGTGATTCAGAAGTTCTCGTGTGACTGCACTTGCGGCTGTTGGTATATCCTTCATCTATGTTTTATAGGCTCCATTGGACTGGAGAATCTCCCTTTCTGCCGAGTCTGAAGAGCACTTCTCTATGCTGAAATACTACTTTGTTGATGAGTTTTACCAATAAACACCTTGTTGTTCAGGGATTTGTTTTCTCTGCTACACATCTTTCTGACTGTTCTTTAGAACATGAAGTAGCACAATCAGGAAACTAACAGGTTGTTCTTAAAGCTGGCTGCATCAATAAAATAGCCATTAAAATCCATTTTCTTCCTCTCTAGCTCATAATGTACTTTCTTGAAGCTGCTTGGAAAAATAAAGGCTTCAAAAAGATGCTGAATATGACTTAGCTCTGAATGTCCTGAGCCTTTGAACTCATAGTATGTCTTTCTCCACAGCAAATTTTGAGATTGTGACTAACCTGAAATGTCAGTAAATAATTGGGCTGAAAAACCTGGAAATATTGTTTTTCCAAATTTCAACTAAGATTTTTCACACGAGCCTCAAATGTGTAATCACATCGGCTTCATGGGTACTTGCTTCTTTCTTTGCATAACTCCTATAGCCACTATGAAAAAAAAATGGACCTTTAAAATTATCTCCAGGCTTGGAATGTGTGATAATGTAGAGAAAAACTGAGCTTGTATGTTGAGTTAACTGCTCTAAAGTAAACATCAAGTATATTCAGAACTGCTCCTCATTTTATGATGATCCTGTTAAATAGGCGAGCAATTAGAAGATGAAATGTAATTAGTAGAACTTGCACAGTCCTCTTCAACCTCACTGCCTTAAAGTTTTTGTAACTTAAAAGTATGTAATCTGTATGAAAAGAGCCAAGATATATGTTCCAGCTGTGCTG